GTGTTTTGTTACTTGGTTTTCTCTATTGTGCCCACAACACTTTTGGAAAAATATAACCCAAATATTGCAGTTGTATTTAACATTAGTCACTCTTTTTGCTACTATTATATATTTTTTACTAATATACACCAAAATAAATATACAGTTTAGATGTGGAAGATGGACGAACTGAGTAAATGAATTTCATAAACGATTTACTCTTGTAAAACGCGCATACTCTTGTCTTGAAATCTCATTTTACGTAATCTGAAGCGAGTTTCTGCTGTAAAGTGCGATATAAGTGTGATGTTGCATAAATGACATCTTTCCTAGCCAATCAAACGCAAGGGGTCCTCTTTCCACGTTTCAGCCAATCACTTTAAGGAGGGCGTGTCTTCGCTCAACCTTATCCCGGCTCGCTGTTAAGGTCACCGCCGTCTTTCGGGAGCTCGCCAGCCAGCCAGCAGCCAGCGAAGCCGCCGAAGCGGAGGCGACACAGCGACGAACGCGACGCGACGAACCAGCAGAAAGACGAGCAAAGATGTCTCTGTCGAACAAACTCACTCTGGACAAGGTGGACGTCAAGGGGAAGCGAGTCATCATGAGGTGAGCGCTTCACGGAAATTGGACTAGCTTGCTCTAGCTAACGCTTCGGTATTTATTTTATTTATTTTGTGCTGTTATAATTGTATAACTATTACTGCAAGTCGTTTCGTGGTAACTCTTATAATTTCAATTTTGGGGTGTCACGACAAGGTGGAGAAATAACGTGAGGGGCGTTAGGGTCCATAATTGACGAAACCGGAAGTGTTTTTTCACGTTTTGTACTGACGTCATGTGCCAGGACCCTGCTATTAATAGTGTTGCAAATTGCCATCAAGTACACTTAACCTCTCGAATATTTCAATTTTGCAACGTTAAGTGTTTATCTTTGTGCGTTCCTCAAATGTACGTAATAATGTGCACGCACAAACCAACTGCCATAAAACCACTACAGATCAATACAGTATATTTTGTTTTTCAGTTTGAAAACCTCAATCACCTCTGATCAAATCTTCAGTAATTTTCAGGGTGCCAACGATGCCAGTTATTTCAATTTTTTTTGTTATGAAAACAGCAAATATATTAAGGATTTTTTTTTTCGGATGATAAATAGTAGCGTGGTGCAGCTTGGGCGATGAGAATCTTGGACATGTCCAAGATGAGCGAATAAACTTGCTTAAAATTCAAAATAAAGAGTAGGCCAAACAGTGAGGACATGGTTGACTCAACCTCAATATCTGTCTTTCAAATGAATGCAGACATTACAGAATGCGTTCAAAACTGTGCTTTTAGTCAGTGTCCAGATTGAACATAATCATCATTGAGTTAAACTTCTTTCATGAACCAAACGGGTCCGTTTGGTTGGTCCGTTGGCACACTTGAACCTGACACCCGTCCACTGCGGAAATGTCAAAGGTTCCAGTTCGCATAAGCCAAGGGACACCGTCAGATACAGTTTGTGATTTGACCTAACAGCGTGCTAGCGCCAAGCGTGTCACAGCCATCGCTTGCCCCGGTGAGCATTTCATCCGAAATGAGGGCCTGAATGAAAA